TCCAATCAAGAAGGGCTCGGGGCACACTTAAGCCAATCAGAAAGGCACTGGGGAGCATTTGAGCCAATCAGAAGAAGCCAGGTACGGCGACTCCGGACGAGAGCGTCTGACGCAGGCCGGAAAAAGAGGTTACGGGGCGCCGATGGGGACAAACACAGCCAGACGCCGGACTTGTTGGGTGGCGTTAAAAAGTAACTCTTTTTAGTCTTCTTGAACAAAATTACATCTAGACTTGGAAACGGAACTTTATGCTTTTTATAACTCTAGGAACTCTAAAATAAGGGGCACCCAAGGCAAAGCACTGGGAGTCAATGCTGCGTATTCCCAGCGGGGCGTAGTCCACCCCCTCTCCCTGCAATGCGCTTGTGAGGCACACCGCCACCTCTGACCCTGTTGTCCCCGAAACTCGCTGGCATTTCCTATCATTTCTAGATATGGGAAAGAAAAAAGGAAGAGGGAGCCCGACTCCTGACACAGTTCAAGTGACTGCATCTTTACAGACATCCATCTGAAACACCCATCCGTGGTTGTTCCCTCCCAAGCGACCCCGGTAACATTCCTGGGTAAAGGATGCCCCTGGTTGTCAAATTCCCCTAGCTCTTGAGGCTGGCTGGACGTTATCCCTCAGAGGGGAATGAGCATGGCAAATTGAGACTTTTGTTATTCTGAAGGATTCGTGGATCTTGTGAAATCTGATTGCTTTGAAATCGGTCCAGGTTGTGCGACATCTCAGAGCACTTTAGCTCAGCTGTTATTACTGCTTCTAAAGGCCACATAAAGGGACTCTGATGGTAGAAAATCTTCACAGAGGATTCAATTCTATAACATTTCTCTCTCAATAAGGCTGGTGAATAGACCTTCATTAAAGTACCCAGGAATTTAAATTTCCAGGACTCAGAGGGGTGTGGTCCCCAGTCAGAGATCCTAGAGTCTAGACCAAAAGGAAAACACAGATGGCCTCTCAAACTGATTTGATTTGACTTCGCAGGTCATTAGATGTAAAATCTCCTAAAAAAGGTGGGTGCTGAGAGACCTAGACAGTTTCTACACTTTAAGAAATGTCCATATTGAGGTCTCAAATTGAGAAAGACTTAACAGACCCATGATAATAACCTGGGATAAATAATCCATGTCATGGATGCTCATGTGTCTCGTCTTGTCTCTTTTCTTTTTTTTTTTGAGACAGAGTCTGGTTCTGTTGCCCAGGCTGCAGTGCAGTGGTG